ATTGGGCGATTGGATGACATGGGCACCTCTGATGGGGCCGGCACCGCGATGGGGCCCCAGCACCCTCAGTTTTCCAGTGGGTTCGCAGGTCAGTGGACTGTGGTTCACACTCAACTCGCCGGGTCTTGCCCTGGGGGAGGGCAAGGGAAAAGCGCCGCTCTACCTCGTGGTTGTAGGGAATTTGGCTGCTTTCGACAAGTATCACAATCCCAGGTGCTAAGGGTGATAGATACCGGTAGCCTGCTAGCGTCCTTGTCGACTCCTTGTCAGACCGTCCTGGCTCTTGTCGCGTGTTAGTCGTTAGTCGCTCTCGTTATTTGCTAGCTTGTCTGCTGTTAGTGATCATCTTACACCGGAACAACAAATGTTCTGCAAGTCCTGGCCGATACAGGGCGGAATTGACTCCAATGGGTTTGGCAACGGGATGGCCCCGACGGGAGGAAAGAAAACAACCTTGGAAGGGTGCTGGTTCCATTATCCCTCGCCTTGCCCGATGCCGCGGGGGAGATTTCTCGGGGACACCTCCAACACGCCCCGGCTTCTTTGTGACCGTACCTCCCAGTCGCCTCACCATCTTTCTGTGCTCTTTGTGACGGCCCTGGTCTGCCTCTGTAAGCGACATTTCTGATGACAATATCTTTGCAAGTACCTAACCGACCGATTTGCCGCTTCTAGGACGCCGCTGCTGACACCTCCCACTTACCTTAGTAACTACAGTCCCGTCTTATCCTCTTCACACCCGCTCATCGCCTTGCGTTGTTTATTTCTCTGTACCTACAAGGCCGGGCCAGGCCAGGCCAGAGCGTCACCGACTCGAGCTGGCCTTCCACACGCTTGGCGATTCCCTGACTTTGCTTGGCTAATCATCAGCCACCTGTACGAGGCAAGTAGCTTGATGTGAAGCTCTCTGGAGCTCTGCAAATGCCGCATCATGTCGATTCTGGTTGGCCGGTCTTGGTTCTTAATAACTGCGCCCGGCCAAGCTGCTGCGGATGGATTGGCAAAACGTTGGCAGACCAGAGTAGCTGTGATGCGCTCTCATTGCCAAGAATCGCTTGATTCAGTCAATTGCCCAGACCTCGGCCAAGCATCAAGAGCTGTTAGCCAGCGGGGTCATACCAACCGGGCAATGGGAGCGCAAATCCAGCTGTGAATAACTGGATAATAATAATACAAAATAAAATAAAATAAAAATCCAACAACACAAAAACAAAGTAGGGGCCACCAACAGTAAACACACCGGGAGTGGAGGTCCCGCAGCTTCTTGCTGTCTCCATCGCATCGTAGCCCGTCACATCGGATCGGGGTTCGCGCCCACTCAGGGCCGATGGTTGGCCTGTCTCTGTCAAGGTCAACCGTCTGGCCTGACCTGATGACCGTCCATCTTTTCTTTCTTCAAACGCGCGCCGTTGCCTCGCAGGGTCACAGCGTCGCTTTCTTGCGTCCCACAGCCAAGCGCTGATTTGATAACAAAAACCTCATACCAGAGTCCAGCTCGGAGCCCCATACACCGCTTCACGCCCCGGGGCCCTTTCCGCATGGTAAGCCCCAAGTGAGGTGAGGTAAGGCCGGCTACACTGGGGCGGGTGGCAGACCGAATCCCTCCGCCCGTTCCGATGGCCCAGTTTGAAGTTTTTTCTTCTTTTTTCTTTGGAGTCCTTGTCGTTGTCATTGCGGATTCAGCCCGGCTTCGTTATTAGAGCACCCGGGACTGCACGCTAAGGTAGCTCTTATGTCCGGTCTTTGCCCGTTCCTAGCACAAACAAAAACGGTGCCGTCTCGGCGTCTTCTTCGGCGGCCAGCCACCACAATTACTCCAAACTTTTGACTTCCTCCTGCTCGTTATGACTTATGTAATCTCAAGCTAATAAGACGCCGGAGAATCAGATCATTCATCGTTGTCTGGCGGGAAGGATCCACCGATGAAGGCCTATGACGACATGCTCAGGTAACCGCTGGCCATTCTTATCTCCTTATCACCGCTGCGGAACACCAAGTTGGGGAATCGCAGCATGGGTTGAGACGAACCAATCACCACCTCGCGCCTGTGTCGGCCGAGGAGTTGCTTGCTCCGATCCAAGTGGATTGTCGGACGCGGCCGCCTGAGCTTCAGAGCTCACGCGCCTGGGTGCTGACACACTCAGGCGACCAAAAGACATCACGGGGGCCTCGTCATCGCCAGAAGCTTGTTAGAGCAGTCGCTTTTCACTTTTCATTTCATGGTGTTCCCAGAGTAACTGCTCCTGTTGCGCTGGTAGCATCTGTCTTGGCTGGGCCTGCGATCTGAGCCGACTCATTTTCATCGGTTCAACTTCCCCGCATCATGACGGTCCTCAGTCATTTGAAACGAGTCCATCAACACAATGTTGCGACTCTGCGCCGCCAACCCGCCGCCGAAATTTCTGGCGCTCTGGGCGACCTAGGAACTTTGCTTCCCTTGATGATTGCACTCGCCGTGCAACGATCTATCCATCTTGACAGCACCTTGGTGTTTACTGGCATTTTCAATGTCGTGACCGGTGCTGCTTTTGGCATCCCGCTGCCAGTACAACCGATGAAGGTCTGACACCCCGTAACTGATTCAACAACGACAACTAACGTATTATCCTAGGCTATTGCAGCTGCTGCGATTTCTAGAAGCGAAGACAGCGGCATCAGAACTGTCATGGCTGCTGGTCAGTGGGTCAGTCTGGCGGTTTTGATCATGAGTCTCACTGGTCTTCTTCGCTGGGTTACACGAAATGTTCCCGTTCCGGTTGTCAAGGGTATTCAGCTTGGTGCTGGCCTCTCTCTCGTAATGGCCGCCGGTTCAGGCTTGCTTCGAGATTTGCACTGGACTCATTCCGTTCTGGACAATAGGCTCTGGGCCCTGGCTGCTTTCTTGGTGCTCATCTTCACGCAGGGACTTCCCCGCTTCCCCTACGCCTTATACATCTTCCTCTTGTCGCTTGTCTTTGCGTTCATTTCCATCCTGTACGCCGACCATCACGAGCCGCACAACCTGCCATGGTTCCACGTCTGGGTTCCGCAATTGCTGCACTGGAACTTCAACTGGTTCAGGTATAAGCCCATCACGATGGCCATCGGCCAGCTGCCTCTTACTACACTCAACTCTGTCATTGCTGTCAGCGCCCTTGCTGCCGACTTGCTCCCTGATATGCCTACCCCGACTGTCACCGGCATGGGCATCAGCGTTGGAATCATGAACTTGGTGGGTACTTGGTTTGGTGCTATGCCAGTCTGCCACGGCGCCGGAGGCCTGGCCGCTCAGTACCGATTCGGCGCGCGCAGCGGTGCCAGCGTCATCATCCTGGGCCTGTTCAAGATTATCTTGGGCGTTGTCTTTGGCGGAACTCTCCTCGACTTGCTGTCGCATTACCCCAAGAGCTTGCTTGGTGTCATGGTCATCGCCGCCGGTCTCGAGCTTGCCAAGGTCGGCCATAGCTTGAACCACGGTGCCTCTGACCTGTGGGAGAGTTCTGCAGGCAACAACGACGGTGGTCTTCTGAGACAACACCGCTCGCTATCTGACGATGAGAGGGCTGAAAGATGGACCGTCATGCTGATGACCACTGCGGGACTTCTTGCCTTCAGGAATGATGCTATTGGATTCATCGCGGGTATGTTGTGTTTCTGGGCCTACAGGGCTTCGGAGAGAACTGCGCGCTGGTGGCAGTCTAAGCGACCTATTTTCGGGGAGCGAGAGCCGCTTCTGCGTTAAGACGGCCATATTGGTACGTTTTGCTTCGACAGGTTAGAGTATTGGTTCCTGGAAAACCAAAGTATATGTATTTATGACCTAGAATCATTGCAAGAATCCCTGACCAGAGACTGGAGAGGGGCCATCCATCAATCCATCCGGTTCATCTCATTTGCAAGTGCGTCTCAACTGCGGGTTTGGCATGTTTTCTGGTATCCTCGAACTTACCAACGTGGATTTAACTTCAGCCACACGCTTCCAGGTTGTTGAGATTCACTAGACTTGATTCAAAATGGACCTTGTTGGGAATAAGCTACCATCCAGGTTGATAACCAAACCATGGATATGTCCATCACTGCCTCCACTGGTAGTAAAACTTCTGAGGACGAGAGAGTACTTAAAGCCGCAGGTTTCGGGCTCATGCAGAGACCAAGACTGATGCACTTCAAGAAAAAAAAAAGCCATCCAAAATGAATCACATAGAGTACCAAGATACCATACCCAAAGAATGTTTGCCTGCAGATTCGTTGCTCAAAGCAGCGGTTTGCATATGTAGTACCCAGAGCAGGGAGTCCACAAAGGTGAGGAAGTATTCGCCGGTTGGGTAGATTATCATTGGACGCTGACCGGGAAGTGGAAACCGAGTTTGGATCTACGCAGGGTGATGGCCACGAGGTCTGTCTGTGAGCAGTCTCCTGGGAGCGTGGACCTTGCTGATAGGTACTGAGAGGCAATTCGGACCTTGACCGAATTGCATCGTGAGATTCAGTCCCTTCACCGCAACATTGAAAAGATGACTCAGCCAAGCTTCAATGATAAGAAGGGGCCAGGAAAGATGAATCATTTGGGCTATGGGTTCTTTCCTGTATCGTCCCAAAGTGAACTGCCCAATCGTGTTTAGGTAATTGCCACGGGAGGATGGCTTCGTTTGGAAAGTCGCAAGCACCTTTTGCGCTTTCCTCCGGTCATTGTTTGGTCCTGAGAAGGCAGGCAGCGACGGGGGACTGCACCGGTGACTGGCGTCTGGCCTTGTCTCTTTCAAGGGAACGAGCGTGGGCCCGTGCTTTCCCAGCGCGGGGTTGACCAATAGGCCAGGAGATTCACCGAAGTCAGCCAATCAAAAAGGTACCCTTTCTCCACCGACCCTGTCAATCGGCAGGAAGGAGTCTCGCAGCCCGATTTTTTTGGGATCTCGCATTGTCCGCAGTCTCCTCAGGTCCAACCTTGTCGCAACAGACCAAATCGCCTTCAGAGGCTTGCCGAAGACGAAGGAGCTGGTCTGTCCGCTTGCAGAGCAGCGATGACTTCGTCCAACGCCGGCCAGAACGGCCAGGCGCCCGTGCCGACCACGCCGCCCCCAAAGAACAAGACGTCGCCAGCCTCCGCTCGACACAATCCCGACGACAACAACGCGACCAAGACCGACCAGCCGCGCGCCGATGCATCCACCGCCGCTGAGAACACCAAGAACGACACGTCTACCAACCGTCACACCACTCCCGTCGCCGTCGATACCGTCATGACCGATGCCGACGCCGCGACCACCGCGATCACGACCGCCCTCCCCGCAGCATCGCAGCCCGCTCCAGCCGCCCCGATGGATGCCGATCCCTTCAACTCCTCCTTCCCCCATACCCCAATGCCCAACATGGACCACGCCTACATGATGATGGCTCTCGCGCATATGGCAAACAACCAGATACCCAACCAGATGTCGCCACCTCCGACTGTCACGCCAGCCCAGGTCACGCTCCCGACCATGAGCAATGGCAACGACCCGCTCGTCGCAAGCACCCAGAACCTCGCGGCCGCCACACAAGGCCTGGAGTCCTTTGCGCGAATAGAATTCGCCGACAGTGTCTTCCAGATGACCACTTACGCCGTCATCATCGGCCGTGATCAGAAGGCCATGATCCAGGCGCGACGGGACGAGAAGCGCAATGCCGAACATCGGAGAAGAGTTGAGGAGTACGAGGCTCTGGGACTGCCGCCCCCCTCTCCTGTCAGGAATGACCGCATCAAGTTCAGCAAATCGTACGTCAGTGAAGAAGGAGGCATGTTGGGACCCGAGTCCGACAGTGAGGAATCCGGGCGGCCAGCGAAGCGACGTAAGACCACTAGTACTGGATCGTCGCAAAGACCCGAAGAGGAAGAAGCACAGGAGAACCTCATATCCAACAGACAGTACGTATCGCACACACCGGGCGCCGCTGCTGTCGACCTCGCATCTCTGCGGCCCTCTCCTCACCACGTTCCGCTGGTCGGCATCCATTCACCCGGACCCGACATCGCGACCAAGACCAAGGCCATCTCAAGAGAACATCTCAAGATCCAGTTCAATCGTGCTGAGTGCGTGTTTGAGGCTATTCCATTACACAAGAATGGCTTCTTTTGCGAAGATGTTCACCACAAAGACGGAGTAGTCGTGCTTCGGAGCGGCGCCCACTTGCAGATCAAGGATGTCGACTTTCGCTTCGTCATCAATGGTGTCCCTGAAGGCCGCACTGGCGCGGAAGACTTCGCAGAGGATAAGGACAATCTGAAGAAGAGCGGCAGAGCCCAGGGTGGCAAAGAGATGAGCTTCGAGTTCGAGGCCTCACATGGAAATGGCGAGCTGAACGACTCTAGCGACTCGTCGCTCAGTCCCCCAGCACCGTCCGAAGATGAAGAATCAGATGCGGACGTCGATGCAGAAGCTGAAGCCGATGCAGAAGCCGAAGCAGATGCAGATGCAGATGCAGAAGCCGAGGCCGAAGACGAAGCCCTCGCAGAAGCAGATGCTCAGGCTGACGAGGAAGAGGAGGAAGTGGAAGATGTTGAGCCTAGCACAGAAGTTAAGGCAGAGGAGCCCGAATTGGGCCACTCATTACAGCAGCCATTACCACTGCTTATTCCAAAGAAAAGGGGGCCTGGCAGACCGCCAAAGAACGGTTTCATGTCCAAGCGCGAGCAGCGGTTGCTTAAGAAGCAACAGCAAGAGATGGCCAAGAAGACGCTACCACAACCACCTCCCGGCGAGCCTCCAATCAAGAGGAAGGTCGGACGTCCAAGAAAGCATCCGCTCCCTGAAGAAGGGGGTGACCGACCAGAGAAGCGCAAATACAAGCCACGGAAGCCGAAGGGAGAAGACGGCGCAGAGGGATCAGACGCAGAGCGACGGGCCAAAGAGAAGAAGGAGAAGAAGGTCCGGCCGAAGTCGCCTCCCTTGGAGCTCAAGATTGAAGACTACACAGAGGAACAGCTTCAGAAGCCCAACAAAAACTACGGAGTTCTCATTGACGAAACTCTGACTGCGGCGGGACCTGACGGTCTTACACTGAAGCAGATCTACAAGCGAATCACGCAAAGATACCCCTGGTTCTACTTCCACACAGAGACAAAAGGTTGGGAATCCAGTGTACGGCACAACCTCATCGGGAACGAGGCATTCAAAAAGGACGACACCACCGGACTCTGGTCGCGTGTGCCTGGTGTGGAGCTTGATGCCGGCAAGAAGCGGAAGGCCTCATCGCCGGATCGCTCGATGAGTGCCGGTTATGGCCATTACAACCACCACCCAACGTACGCTCAATATGCCCAGCAGCAGCAACAGCAATATCAGCAGCAGCAGCAGCCTCAGCAGCCGCAACCGCAGCAACCACAACCTCAACCGCAGCAGCAACAGGCGCATATGCCTCCAGCGTATCAACATCTTCCTCATGCTTACCATACGCAGGCATATGCGAGTCAACAAGCTCAAGCTGCTGCTGCTGCCGCCGCTGCTGCGCGAACACCTCAATACTCTCCCCCAGCAACGACTCCAGCCCCTGGTCAACCAGCGCAACCCTCAGCATCTCAACCTGTTGCGCCTGCAACGCTTCCCGGTTATGGAGCTGCCGCCGCGATTGCCCGACCTCAGGGCGTCGCCGGTAAGCAACCGACTTACAGTTCACCATATGCTTCGCGACCTCCTCCGACACATACTGCTATCAAAGCAGAAAACGGCACCACACCATCAGCACCGCCAGTCACACAGCCTGCTCCGGCCGTCCCCCCTGGAGCTCACCCACCACCGATACCCGCTGCTACACCGCAGCAAACCCGACCCACACCAACGCCTCCAGCACCAGCCGAGCCTCGTGCAGTCATTCAACCTCGCCTATTGTCTGCAGTCAATGGCCTCAAAAACGGTTTGATTGACAATTTGAAGAAAGCGAAGAATCCGAAGGCCGAAACGATCGTCATGTCTGCCCTCAATCGGGTCTTGGGGCTCAAGAGTGCTGCCACAGAGAACCAAGCCATGGAGGACATTTGCATGAAGGGCATGCAAAAAATTGTCGACGGCTTCTTAGCTCCAGGCAGCAGCACGCCTGGCTCTGGTGGCACACCACAGCCAAGTGGGTCCAACAGCGTCTTCGAGCCCAAAGTCTTCCAGTCCTTGCTTGGGTTTAAGAATGTCTCGTCCAACGCCCTCAAGGTTAGAATAGGAGAAGCCAAGGCTGAGGCAGTCACCCTGTCCGCCATTGACCGAGTGCTCGGCCTAGCCGATGCAAGTATCGTGCCCCCAACCGCGGAAGCTACAGCGTCTGGCTCGCCGGCTGCAGGCTTGGATGGGATCGAATCACACCTAATTAACTCGGTGAAGCAGTTACTGCTAGGTCTAAATCAGAAGTTGCATGGAACATAAGTATCAATCTAGCACGAGAGAGGGGGAGAGAGGATTTCGCAGCAAGGTCACCTAGGCAGCCCTGGGGGTCTTTGCGTTGTTTCTGGAAGCGAATGATCATGAAATAGCGAAATACGACTACTCATAGCGTAGCTAGGTATTGTCGATTGGGGTTTAGCACAAAATATCTTGAATCGTTTTTACAACATGTTCTGCTACTATGGAAGTTGCGAGTTCACTAAGAATTGGACATAATGCCGTGCGTCTACGCGAGCATCTTCGCTTGATGCGGTGAAGCACTGTCCAAGTCTGGCATCATGTGTTTGTCCAACTGATGGCTCTGATTGACGGGGCCATGACAAGGGGCTAGGATTGGGGCCCAGGATGTTATCACGTATGGCCTCGCCCAAGCAACTGTGCCGCCCTGGGGCTTGCGTCTCTAACCGCTGTGGCTTTTGGAATTTGATAGTATAACTCAGTCGTACATACTGTGTGGCTCACCAGACATCCGAGGCAGCCTCTTCTTCCTCTGTATGGACTGAGGGTTTTCCCTACTGGGTGGGCTCGAAACTTTCTCAACATGGGCTGAGGGTTTCTGGTTTGGGCTTTGTGGGATGTGGCCAGGCTCGGGGACCATTAGTGACGTGTCTTCCGAAGCACTTTCACGCCCGCTCGTGTAGTCAGTCCATGGATTGTAGTACCAACCGTTGGCTCTGGAGGCTCTTCTTTCGCCGTTCCGGGCCCGCTGCCCGGCTGCTAAACGTGTTGGTTGAGCGGTGAGATTGGCTGGGGAAGACCGACTTGACGCGAGGGTGCGAGAAGCCCGACGAGCTTTCGGCGCATAACAAAACATACAATGGATTTGCCGCCACCTTGAAGAAAGAAGAATTGGAGCCGCGTTTCACGGCCAAGAGATCTAAGTCTGGTCATGATCAGCATAGCTACCCTGTTGGTTATGGGAGAAACCAGTACACCTGATGTTTTTGACGCCCATGCGTCCTCGAACACCCCAACGCAGCCGTTTTGAGTAATTCTAGAGCTTCAACTTGCTAGAAAACTGGTCATGTGCTAATTAAGGACAGCCATGTGATTCAGGTTTCATCTGAATCGATTGTGGAACGGAGAAGATACGTCGATGAGCGAAGCCTTTTACGAGTCTCTGCTCATTGCGGACACTCATGTTGTCTTAGAAACTGCGCATTATGCCAGAGTGACTGGTTGCTACAGAAATTGTTACGACTGAGATGACATGCTTTTTATGGGGGATGGGCCTAAAACACAGTACATAGTTGAGTAATTTGGACACTCGATTTTGAGACACGGTTCATTCTTAACAAAACATTTCATTATTCCAGCCCCTGGTTCCAGGGCTCCCAAGTTTGTTTGTCATAACTACCCATGCACTTCACCTTCTCGGGAGGATCGGCTTTCCAATCCAGCTTGAAATCTTCCTTCTTGTCTTCGTCCCCAACCCACTGGCTAGTGTAGCCCTTGGCCGCCTTGATCTTCCTGCCTGCGTCGTCACTGTATTCCAAGTTGACGCTTGGGACGACCGCAATCTTCCCGAACCCGATATTCCACATGTCCTTGCAAAACAGCTGGGGCTCTCCCTGGAAGCACTCCCCCTGGCTTGGCGCCCGGAACCTGATGAGCTGGTCCAGCAGGGGCCGCGCCGTCGTGGCCACTGCGCCGTTCCAGCAGGAAAAGACTTGGATGGGCTTGTGGTCAAAGAACCGTCGCTTCGACGTCGCCTCGTTCCAAAAGATGTTCCAGGCCGAGTTCCAGTTGCCATCGGGCGGGATCTCAAAGAAGGAATCGCCGGCAATGGTGCGGCTGATCCAGACGTCGTAGAAGGTCGGGTCTGCGCCCACGTACGTCCAGTCAAAACCGCAGGTCATGTCGGCGCCGAGATAGAGCCGCTGGTGGGCGAGCTCGAGGATGTCCTCGAGACAGATGGAGACGTCGTTGAGGAAGAGAACAGTCGTGTCCGAGGCGTATTTGAGCGGGTTGTTTACCAGCGGCGCGATGGCCATGTTTCGCAGCTCCGCAAGCTTTCTAATGCGGTCGCCTGCGCCCGGATCGAGGTCGCTGCGGGCGAAGTGATACTCGGTGCCGAGCTTCTCGATTTCGCTGGTGATTTCTTTGAGAATCTCGTACGTGCCGTCGTTGGAGTTTCCCTCCACTACCGAGAGAACGCAGCTCTCAGGACCGAAGAAACGAAGGGCTTCGACGATGGAGCCCATGAGCCGCGGCAGCAGATCGGCCTTCTGGCGGATATTGAGAGCAAGGAAGAATTTTGGCTTCTTCAGCTTCGAGGCAGGCTTGAGGTACTCATAGCGGTCGATGTTGGGCCGGGGGCAGTCTAGCCTGGGAAAGTTCTTGTCCTCGGGGTCGAGGATGGCATTGATGTATTTGGGAGCGCTCTTGATATGATCCGGGTTGCCGTCCGGCAATGGTGGGCTGACGGCGTCAGCAGTCGGCGATGGTGTCGGCACTTGTATCGGCGTTTTCGTGGGTGCCGGCGTGTGCGCCGGGACGTGGGCCGGCGATGCTACCGTGGGTTTTGATCCATCGTCTCCGTGGTGTGGAGACGCTCCGTGCGTTTGTTCGGCGGTTTGAGGCTTCCCTGGTTCAATTGTAAGTAATAATGATTCCAGGCTCAAGCAGATATCATGAGCGTCCGAAAGAAAGTTGGCACTCACGGAACGGTTTGTACGCGACATCGAAGTACTCGCGACCGGAAAAGAGATCATATGCGACCAACAGGCTGAATAGCAGCAAGCCGACGGAGCAGGCCTGCGCAAAGAGGACGAGCTTCCGTCTCGCCATGGCAGTTATGAAGGGCCGCAAACTACCATCACGCACCGTGAAAGGCGACAATGATGAGCTGCGAAGTAGAAGGGGGAAGAGAGGTTAAGTTCGATTAAATTACGTATGGCCGAGAGAGAAGAGCGCAAGAAGGCCGGGGGCCATTTCTCGGGGGGTCCAACAACAGCTCAGGTGGATGTTGGAAGCGAAAGGCCCCTGTTCGTCCAAGACATCGCCGACCACTCAGACACAACTGTTGGTGCCGTTGTCCGTCGAGTTGACCGGGGTCCCGAGAAAGGCTCACATCCCGCCCCGGTTGTCTTTTGTTGGTGCAGGCTCAGGGCGTTTACCGCGCGATTAAAATGGCGGCCGTGGTTGGGTCATGATCCTTCTGGGCCCGCAATCGAGGCCTTGGTGCATCCACTCTCCTACCAGCATTATCTTCTTTTGGTGCTGGTTCCCTTTGCTTAACTTGTTGGTCTACCTCCAGCCTCACAAGTTTTGCCCGATGCCAACGCCTTTTCTCTCTACGTCGTGAGCAGGCTGCGACGTGCCCTGAAATTTGCCCCCTCTTGCTGCATGGATGTCACAGCTAGAGGCGCTCAAGACTCGACTGCTTTGAGTATGATTCGTCGAGGGAGATGAGCTGCCCGGGGTCAACCACTCTGTCGGGTCGCAGGCAAACGAAAACAGGCAGGTGCCGTCATTCCCGCCATGGCGATAACTTGAGAGGCAGCAAAGTCAGGCTCTCTGTCACGGCTGGCCGTCGGGCCTCCGAGGTTGGCCGACTCCTCCTGCTATGTGACCTCTCGCCCAGAGGTCTGGGTGATCGGGTTGACGGGATGCTACATACTTAGTTGCGTATTCCACCCTTCCTCGTCCGAGTCTCCTCGTGTTCCGAGTCCATTTTCCCCTCGTCGCTTGTCATTGTACGACTTCACGATATCTCTCGTTTCACTGAGAGTGCTTTGGATTTGATCGTCCAGTCCATAATTACTAATATTCGAAACCGGTTTTTCATCACTTTGTCTAAGATACACGACCATCGAGAATACGAAGCCCCTGTTTATCAAGTTGTTTGCACACTTGCGGAGTCGACAAACACGCAGATCCTCCCGAGAAGTCTAGTCTATCTCTTCTTCAGCGTTCAAAGACCCTCCACTTCGGGATGCTTCGGGTAAACATCCTGTTTCTCCTCCTCTTCGCCCTCGAACGGCATTTCACCATCGCGGCATCCCCGCGGGCCATTAACCTCAAGTACGCCGCTGTTCAGCCGCCAAAGCCTACGCAACCTCCAGCCAAGAACAGCACACGAGGTACAGATGAAGAGCTCCGGCGGCGACAGGTCACTTCCATCGGATCCAAAACCTGCGGGTACTATGACGGCGACCCGACAAAGTTCCGGACTGCTGACGGCGGATACGGCTGTCGCCTTGATATCAACAACGGCCTCTGGGGATTTTGTCCTACTACAGTGATATCTCCAAAAGATTGTGGGCTGGCGGGAGCTTGCGAAGACAGACATGCGTGTGCAAACGGCTGTGGAAAGACCGGCATCGAGGGTCTCACCACGTTTACTTGGTGAGTAGCTCTGACTAAGTATGACAAGCACAGCCTAATTATTATCAGTTCAAGCACAAATCAGTACTGCTCAACTGTCATTCTCAAGGGAGATTATGAAGGCGGCTTTTCCTACATTGCGTGCGGCGCTCAAGCTGTCGTAGAAACCCTCTTCCAATCCCCAACAGTTGCGGCAGTTCCCAGCGTTACTATAACTCCCGATTCATCGACAGCCTCTGAAACCGAAACCACAAGCATATCAACAGATGCGAAATCCTCGCAAGCCTCGACGTCATCAACCTCGACAGGAGCGACAGCTACGGGTGCGCTACAATCATCCACGGAATCTACTGCTGCAGCCAGCGAGACAGCCACTCCAGCAGGACAAGATAACAGTGATGGAGATTCTTCCAGTACACCCAATACCACAGGCATCATTATCGGCGGTGTCATCGGCGGCATTGCCATAGTGTGCGTTACTGTTGTCACGGCCGTCTACCTTCTCCGTCGCAACAGGGGTAGCAAGGAGAACAACGAAGGGAGGAGCAGTCGCTTCTTTTCGTGGAGAAAATCATCTCAGAAACCTCCCACCTATGATCAAAGCGAAGCTACTCAAGTTGATCAAAATTTGCAGTACACCGCGGATAATAACAAGACCTACGCCGGATGGGGGCCAGCGGAAGTGTACGGCTCAGAGGCATGGAGGAACCCGACCGCTCCCGTTGAAATGCCAAGTGCGCCTGCGCCTCCTGTTGAGCTTCCCAGTCGACGTTACTAAAGAGAAGGGAAAGACTATTTTGGAAATGATTAAAGATTTCACAACGACATTTCAACTGTAAAGTCTACATAGCGAGGCGGGTGTTTTCCTTAGAATTTTCTTCGAATATTAATTTGTGCTTAGTTCACAACATCTTGTGGAAGTCTGCCTCAGTAAAACATGGTATATGTGCTTGACAACAAGGGGTAAAAGGAATGGTCTCTGAGAACATGATTCGAGAGTCGTAGGACTACATTGTGAATTTCATTGGTATTCGAGAGTTCCATTGGTATTCGAGAACGAACCTTCGAAGCGTTTCAGCTAAAGCTTAAAATGACAAGGAATACAAAGGCAGCACTCCTCGAAACTTTCATGACGAAAAGGAAAATTCGATGCGCCAAAGTCATCGTTGGAGGTCGTATACAGATCTACTTGACCTTGTCAAAGATCAGCTTTTCCCAGCAATCAGGGCCTTCCGTGTTCATTTCTTCGATCTTTTGAGACCAATATGACGACAGACTGCCTCCGTCATCAAATGGTCGAAGTCGAGCCCATACCGCCCACATCCTCACTACTGCCTCAGCTGTCGACGCGTCGACTTCGAAGAATTCGTGGTGCTGCGCAGGACAACCGGGGCATTTCTCTTTTCTCTGATAGTTGCGCAGAAATAGGTGGATGATCTTCTCCATCTTGACGTGATGCGCGACTTTGTATGCAAAGACAAGTTGTGGCTCGTAATGACACTGTTTCTGCCACTCTCTCATACGTCTTTTGTAATCATTCGTATAGCCCATCTTAACCACTTGGCAGGCCTTAAGGCTTGTCGTCTTATGGTCTTGAGGCAGTTGATAGCCATAGATGTATCCTTCGCCTTTGGCAAAGCCCTCTTTTTCGCTCTTCATGAAAGGCCTGTTGAGTTTGCTGACAATGTCATTATTGATCATACCGATATGTCTGGGTTGATAGTAGGGCTCGAAGGTGTGTATGGTGTCATTGCTTTTGACTGTGTCTTCAAGCGGATCCGAAGCAAAAGGCACAGCTTCAGTCTTGACGTGTTGTCCGTCTTGTTCTTCTTTAACCACGGTATTTATCAACGATATTCCTGGTTTCGCTTCAGCATGAGAACATGTTGATGGCTGAACCGCAGCTGGTGTTTTGAGAATGTTGACTCGAGTTCCGCTGAGTTGAGTTGAAGCTTTAGTCGATTTCGGGTGATTTCTGGTATCCGCTTCTTGAGTTACCGCAGCATCGTGGCTCAGGAACGAGATCAGGCGGCTTCTCCATTGTGCCACTTTCTCGGCAATCTGAGTTTGGTGATATCTTTTGCAGAGAACAAGAGAAGCGAGAGTCTTTAAATGATTGGTCGCGCAGCTAATATTTCCGCTTTCGACGATGTTGAGCAGGACGGGTGTTATCTGAGAGCGGGAGACTTTGCTTATTGAGTTACCACAAGTCGTCTTGTTCTTAGAATATCCTCGGCAGGTGGTACAAGCATTGAATTGGGTGTCGAGACAGCGATATAGCTCGGTGGTATTCTTCACCCATGATGTCTGAATGAGGGCCTCCATTGCAAAGAATATTCAAGGTTTGACGTTGAGAACTAGCTCTTGTCACGGGGTCCTCGATGCCGCAATATTGCTATCATGGCCAATTTCAAGCATTCTAGATCATTTATAGGAGTTTGAGTGACGGGAAAGCCTCTGAGGAGGCCTCGGTAAGGCTTACAGGCCTGGGCCATAGCCACGCCACACTCCAACATAGCAGAAGCCGTGGGCCGCAAAGTGACAGCCAACTGGGTGGAATCCCGGACAATACTTCCGTACTCTCATGTTCAACAACTTATGTATTAACTGGTATCGTTACTATTGCCGTCCCTTTAACCGTATCTGTCGTGATCTACATCGTCTTGTTCTTATAGTCTTTAGCGTCGTCTGATCTGTTCTCATCGCTCAAGTAGTGAGTAATATCCGCCGGAACAGCAGACTTCATACCGTGACGGTACTCCTAGGTTCAAAAAGTCCATCGCCGCCCATGTTGCGAGACCTCGATGTACAGTGTTTCCGTCTGTGTGAATGGATTCTCACGGAGAACTGTAGTGCTGGTGACAATTACCCAGCTAACGTCGTTGGAGGTTCACGTCTGTTCGCCATGTTGGCCGTTGGCGGTATGAACACCAAAAGAGGACTCACCGCCGACGATGAAACCCTCGGATCCAGTCTCTCGGGTCTGGAAATGGCGCCGCAGTATCTATTAGCAAGCATGAAGCGAAGAATCACGGAAGAAAGTGGAAAAAGTGTTGCAGGTGATGGCGTGCGGAAGACTTGTCGTCGGCGGTTGCGGAGCGAATGAGAAGTTGTGCGCTGGACTTGGCATAGGTGGTGCTGGTACTGTCTGCCAGCCGGTCAACGAAACGGCCACCACCCAGGCTGTGCTGTGGACCCATTCATCGCCATAACTCGAGCTCAACGCCCTCGAAAGTCTGCTACCGACAAGTAGAAATGGAAAATCTTTTTCCAAAAGCAATGCCTTCCCGCCAGCAATGGTGATTGATCATGTCATCTACTTTTATAGACAGATAGCGATCCGCGCGACGTTATGAATGGTCTTGAGCTGTTCAAAAGCAGTCAACCTTCGCAAAAACTCAATCCATATCTAGAAAGAAAGAGTCGATGACAAATTTCACGAGAGAGAACAGGAATGCCCTGTTGGCGTGATGCGAACTTGGGTAGCGTTGGTGTCGGATAAGTGGCGAGCATCGATACGGATGGCGCAGACTCCAATGGGCAAATCAAAGTCTTGCATTATAATAATTGTGCCTTTTGCGTGCTCCGATATCCCTCAACCTTCGATAGACGACGTTGTCGTGCGTTTCAATAGCCCTATTTCTTCTTGCTTAGCTCAATTTTCTCGCGAATAGTCAACACTGAAAAGCAGCAGCCCTCATTGTTAACACTCAGACAATCATTGATGCGACCCAGCCAGATCAGTGCGACCACTCATGTCAGGCTATGAACTTCTTCTCCAAATCGATAAGATCTAGGCGATGGAAATCCCGGCCGGGTACCGATTGACTTGTGTCACATCCGGTGAGGAACTGGTGAAATAAGAACGCGTACACACAGATGCAAGTGTGCAGATCGTCAGATCGTGCGCCGTTGTCCGGCGCGTTTGAACAGTTATCCGGACTTTAAGGAGATAAAATCAATCTAGTGGCCACTGACATCACTGCTCCGCACCGGCTCAACAGTTTCGAGAATTTACAAAACAGTCGACTCTCGGACTGGCCATCGACTTGGAATCCACAATAGTCAAGGAAAACTTACACCTGTTGTTATCGCACAGCATGGACTTCGGATCCGAAACACAGGCCGCTTCTTCAAAGCGCATGTACACTGCGCGGGCCGACAACTATGAAAACTCATTTCATCCCGACTACACCAAGCGCTTCATGGCGCTCGCCGACGTCCAGCCGGGCGAGCGAGTTCTGATACTGGCTTGCGGTACCGGGCTTGAAATCTTCATTGCTGCGGAGCAAGTGGGAGAAGAGGGCGAGATTGTCGGCGTTGATATCACAGACGCAATGTTGGCCAAGGCAAGAGAGAAGAAAGAGCGTCTCAAGCCAAAAGCGGACATACACTTGTTCAACCACGACATAACGGACCTGAACGGGTTGAAAGAACTCGAGGACAAGAAGTTCGACGTCATCATGTGCTCCAATGCATTTGTCCTCCTCGACAACCAAGAGCAAGTTGTCGCTTCGTGGAGGAAGTACCTGAAGCCTGGCGGGCGGCTGCAGGTTGACATCACCCACGAGAACAACCTCAAGATCGGGCTTTTGCTAGAGCGCGCGGCGAATAGACTGGGAACCAGATTCCCTAGTAACAGGACGTGGATAAAGGATAGGAACTCATTCAAGAAGATCCTGGAGAAGGCCGGCTATACGGTGGAAAAGATCGAGTCGATGGACAAACTAACTGGTCAGGGTAGCACGTTCTACGGCATGGACCAAATTGACGAGCAATTTGACGGGATTATCAGCACGCCGTTGACAATCAACATGGCGACGGACGAATTCAAGAATAAAGCCAGAGCACTGTTTCGGGAAGAATGGGAAAAGGATGCTGTCGATGGCAAAATTGAGAACGTCGATGCCCTGTATGTCTATGTAGCCCGGAATATGTAGGTCGCAAGGCTCTGTTAGTCTAATGCGAAACATAGAGATGTAATGTAATACATGTTTACAACTTAGCCTTGCCGCTTCCTTTCAGGTTTGGTTCAACAGGGACCTTTGGGTGATCTCCTTCTAATGCCAGACCCGTAGCCTTCTCAAGCTCTTCAACAGCCTCATATGTCCTGCCAAGGTGGACCTTGATGGTTCCAAACCCCTGCTTCTTAGCCTCCTTGAGGTTCTCGCCTATATCATCGAGGAAGAGAATATCGTCTGGCTTGACACCATCGGCCCAGCCCAAGGCCCGGCCTCTCTCGGAGTCTGCGTTCTTGATCGCATACTCATTGACGGTCTTCACAGCAAGTTGATATATCCTCGGGTCAGGTTTTCGAAGGCCGACATGCGCTGACGAAATGAAGACGTCAAAGAGGCTGCGGACAGGGTGATCGAGAAAGTCCTTCGTCCATAATTTGTGCCCTTCCGGGAAGACGACGGTGTTGCTCAGAGCGGCAAGAATGTATTTACCGCTGGCTTTCAGATTCTTCAACGCTGGGTACATCCATGGATCCGGGGGGATCGAGTTGGTCATCATGGTGTTGAATAAATACTCTCCATCAATGTCTGGCACAGGCGGGACCTCCTTTGGTAATGATGGGTTCTTGGCTTGCTGTGCAGTGTAAAATGCCACCCAACGACCATGATCGTGAAGGTCTTTGTTGAAACCTTCAAAGAAGGCCTTATCCATAGGTATTGAGCCCGTTTCCAGACGGTGCCAGAAACCGGTCGGGCTCGTCTTGGAGATGGAGTAGTTGACCCATCCTGGCGGGATGCCGAGACTGAGCTCGTAGTCGAG